ACATGGGAGAGAAAGATTATAACTAAGACATGACATGACAGAAAGGTGTCCAAGGCTAAGAGTTCTAACTGACCTTTTCACAAATATGTGTTCCACAAGTGAGGCAATATGTACCCTTCAGCACAATTCCTTTGTGATTACTGAGCAAAAGAACAACTCAGTACAAGCTGTATTTTTATCAACTTTGCAAGTGATGCAAATAATTACATCAACTAGTCAACTGATCTTTTCCCTCAACTTCACTATAAAGACACTCTCTCAAGATTTTAATATAGATCTAAGAAATAGAAAAGCAATATCAACATTGAGAAAAAGTTTAATAATACAAATTATGAAATAAGCACAAGTTCTTATAATGAAAGTACAAGTAAATCGCGCAATTTAACAAGATAACTACAATGGATTTGGAAACAACTGCCTCATAAGAGCCATCAATTCTCGGCTCACAGTTTAATACATTTTTTTTTTTAACTCTGGGATTTAAAAATTCTATTTCACTGTTTTAACAGCATTTCCTCAGCACAATGAAGCATACTTTTGTCAGTCTAAAATCTCAGCAACCAGGACTATATGCAAGAACCAGATGCAACTGTTACTGGAAGTAAAAACACCATTTTAAAGAAGATAGTCCCTTATGGACACTTCTTCTATGTTTCCCCTAGAAGTCACCCCTTTTTTTTAAGTTATCATTGTATTAGGCGTAGAAACCAGGTTCCTCCCAACATGATGACAGAAATGACAATGACGGGGAACACTGCAACACAATGATTCACACAGCTTCATCTTTGAAAAAGCACACACCTGAACCTGCTGAAGCACCAGCAGTGGAGGGAGGGAGGCACTTAAATGCGGGTAGGGTTAAAAAGAAACCGCTGGTAACTAAAACATCACGCAGCAGAATGACCCGGTGCACTGAGAGTGGAGGACGATATAGAATAGGGAAACCGTTTTGACAGTCACCACGGAACTGCTGGAGAGCCCTACAGTTCAGGGGCAGCCAAATACACTCGGGGTAACCGGGCTGGGAATAGTGGGGGTGGGACAGAAAGCGCGGGGCGGGACCAGGAAACCAAAACAGCTTGCGGGTACAGGCTAGCAAAACCCTTGGGGGATGCGGGGGCGGCGGGGGCGGCGGGGGCGGACACCGCGCACCAATCAGCCCCGGGTCCGCGGCTCCTTCCGGTGCCCGGCTGCCTCTTGGAACCTTGGTCCCGGGACCTCCTCGAAGCCGGGCGTCTCCCCGCTCTCTTACCCTGCAAGTGCCCCCCGAGGGCAGTTAAGAAGGGCCAGACAAGTGCCCGGAGAGACCAGGAGCCTGCCCTCTTCTCTAACCTATCGTCCCGCCTCTGTCCCCCCGCCGCCACTCACCGGGATGCAGGCCGCAACTACTTGGGCGGCAGCGGCGACGCGCCTCTGTCCCGCACTGACGTCCACACAGTGGCCGACCCGCATCAGCTGAGCTTCCAACGCAAACAGAAGAGCAGCGGCCGGGGCGCCACCCCCATAGCTCCGTCCCGCCCCAGCGGAAGTGACGCACGCGCGGGCCGCGTCTACCCGCCAGGCCGGGAGGAGCCCCTCCGCTCGGCTCCGGCCTAGGCCAACCTGTCAATCGCCGCTCCTTTTCCCAGACATGCGCAATAGAGCCTGAGTGAGCGACGGGCGGGAGACGTGCGTGCGTGCACGCGCCTGCTTGCGCCGGGGAGGCGCGGCTGGGTTGGTGGGGGCCGTTGTTTCACTCCGTGTGCTTGTCAACCGGCCTCCATCCTCACGTCCCTGAGGGCGGTGTCTGCGCGCTGTCCAAGCTGCGGAGCTGGGGGCTGCGTTCCCGTCGGCCGAGAGGGTGGCGGGCGGCCTGGGCCGGGGCTTCTACCCCTCTGCTTAGCCTTCTGCTGTCGCCATTCCTGGGCATGGCCACCGCGGCTAAGTATCCCTGGAAAGCCCTTCCACATGTATTATCGTATTGGAAGTTAGCTTGTGACATTACCATGTACCTCCCACAAAAGGTCCCACACTTCACACTTACATTTTTCGAATTCTGACATTGTATGCATACCAGATGAGCAATCTACAGCCTCACAGCAGATATGGCTCATCGGCTGTTTTTGTACATCTGTGAGCTAAGAATGCCTTTACATTCTTCAGTGGTTAAAAAAATTAAAAAGTTCCTTGCTCAGCGAGGAGTCTGCTTCTCCTTCTGACCCTCCCCCCTCATGCTCTCTCTCTCTCATTCTCTCTCTCTCAAATAAATAAATAAAATCTTAAAAAAAAAATTAAAAAGTATGCTTCGGAACACATGCAATAACATGAAATCCAAATTTCAATGTCCGTAAAAAAAAGTTTTATTAGAACACAACCATGCCCATTCCTCTATTCAAGCAACTTTCATGCTTACAGCAGTGAATGTGAGTAGTTCTAACAGCTTCCTTTATTCTCTTGAACTGACCTTGCAATTAAATCATGGTTAGGAAACAGAAAAGTAGCCTGTACTAGACTGCAACCTCAAAATGTTACCAAGACTTAGACTCTTTTCCCTTAAAACTCACCAGCCTTTACTTTATTTTTTCAAAGATTTTTTATTTATTTATTTGACAGAGAGCACAAGTAGGCAGAGTGGTAGACAGAGGGAGAAGGAGAAGCAGGCTCCCCGCTGAGCAGGGAGCCCGATATGGGACTCGATCCCAGCATCCTGGGATCATGACCTGAGCCGAAGGCAGACGCTTAACGACTGAGCCACCCAGGCGCCCAAAACTCACCAGCCTTTAGCACCCTGTAAGATTATTGTAAAATCTTTTGGGGAATTGCATGAACTGTCAAACATAGTGGATATTAGACGGATATCTCTCTCTCCCAATCTCTCTCTCTCTCTATATATATATATATAATTTTTTTTTTTTAATTATGGCAAGGAAGCCATCTTGTTATCTTACTAGGCTCTTGGGGCACAGATGGCTGGATTTTGTACATCACAATGCCTGAAGCACATGATTCAGACATGTTATTTTTTATACGATAGTTAAAAGATGTATGCAACAAATTAAACTTTAGAGGTGTTTGGAGATAACTTTAGTTCTGGAGTGATGCTTCTCCCCATTGTTAAAAAAAAATTATTCTTCCACTTATTAAAACTGTAAGAAAGACCTTATTGCTGTAGGTGTCAAGACTATTGCAGTAGGGAAGAGAGATTGGGCTCAACTATGACAGCTGGAGATGCACAGCAGATGAGCAGAGTGAGAGGGGTCAGTGGATAGAAAATTACTAAGAGGGGACATCAAGCGTGAGAGTGATTCTTGTTTAACCGATTTCACAGGATTCTTGCTGAGGACAGGCCTGTGAGGTCATATATCAAAGGTGGGGGATGAGGAATTTGATCAGATATCAAGGGTGGTCAGATAGAAAGGGTAGGAGATTCTCTCCAAACTGACTTAGCAGGATTCTTACCAAAACTGGACTTGGCAGGCCAAAGACAGGGTCCAGGCAGGAAGACTACCTGAGAGGAGGATTCACAGATGCCTAAAGTTTGGTCAAACAGAAAGTCTTTGTCACCATCTATTCTCCCCTTGTTTTCCTTTATTCCCTAATTTAGTCAGGCTTCATCAAATATCTAGATTTTTCTCCCATGTCAGAAATTTTCAAATAATTCTCAAGTCCTTCTCCTTCTTTGCCCTTCCCTTCCCTCCCTGTCTACCCCCATACACCTTTAACAGTTGTGAAGTCTGATGATTCCTACTGCCAAATCTCTCTCATCTTCCCACTGGCTCTGCATTGTCATTTCCACTGTATTAATTTAGGCTTTCATCCTTGAGACACAATCTTATCCAAACTGGTTTTCCAGGCTGTAACTGACCTCTAACCCAGAGCCATTCTTTTCTGTGCAGCCAAAGTAATCTTTCTAAAGTACAAATCCAATCATGTGTTGTTCCTGATTAAAAAGTTTTTGCTGTCACTTCATCTGCATAGAATAAAATGCATACCTCCATAGCAGGTTCCAACCCCGCCGACCTTCCAGCCTTAACTTCACCACAGGCTGCTCTTTACCCTTTTTTTCTATTAACTAATAAGTTCTGGCTCATAATACCTGTTAAAGAACATCTAGTCTCTTTATTGTTCAAACAAACTTAATGCTGTAGCCAAAATAAATGTAGACATCTTGCTGTGAGGTATTTCTACAAATCACTTCAGGGAGGGATATGCCAGGAAATAATTCTAGAAGAATAGTTACTGTGGTAGGCAGAATCACAACCTTCAACCGGTTAATATATTATGTTCCCCAACCATAATATAGTTCTCCAAATACCTTGTGCCTTTTTGTACTTCAGTGACTTTGTTTATGCCTCCTTCAAAACCAGAAAAGCCTACAAAACCTAAACATACTATTACCATACATCCAGCAATCCCACTCCTTGGTATTTATCCAAAGGAGTTAAAAAATTATGTCCACACAAAAACCTACATACAGAGGTTTATAGCAGTTTTATCCATTATTGTCAAAACTTAGAAACAGCCAAGATGTCCTTCAGTAGGTGAATGAACAAATAACTGTGATACATCCAAACAATGGAATATTAGTCAGTGATAAAAAGAAGTGAGCTTCAAGCCATGGAAAGATGTAGAGGAAGTTTAAATGCTTATTACTAAGTGAAAGAAACCAATCTGAAAAGGCTACATACCAACCATATGATCCCAACCATATGACATTCTGGAAAAGGCAAAACTATGGAGGCAGTAAAAAGACCAATGATTGCTAAAGGTTAGGAATTGGGGGAAAGGGAGATGAATAGGCAGAACCCAGAGTATTTTTAGAGCAGTGAACATACTCTATATGATACTATGATGATGACAACATGTTACTATACATTAGTCCAAACCCATAGAATGTACAACACCAACAGTGAACCCTAAACTATGGACTTGGGGTTATTACAATGTGTCAATGCAGATTCATTGATTGTAACAAATGTACCACTCTGGCGGATGTCCATAATGGGGAAGGCCATGCATATACACGGGCCCAAGGTATATGGGAAATCTGTGTATCCTCCTGTCAATTTTTCTGTGAACCTAAAATTTTCTAAAAAAATTAAGTCTTTTTTTTTTTAAATGTTTTATTTATTTATTCATTAGAGTCAAAGAGAGAGAGAGAAGCAGAGGGAGAAGCAGGCTCCCCACCTAGCAGGGAGCCCGATGTGGGACTCGATCCCAGGACCCTGGGATCACGACCTGAGCCGAAGGCAGAGGCTCAACCATCTGAGCCACCCAGGCGCCCCAAAAAATTAAGTCTTTAAAAATTTAAAAAGAAAAAACCAGAAAAGGCTTATCTTACTACTTCATAGAGTAAATCATTTCTTCCATTTGTGCTTGCTTCTAGTGCCCTGGCTGCACAGTATTGTAATTCATTCATTTATATGCCTATGAGTTTCCTGTAGGCAGGAAGTATAACAAACATATTTATATTTGTAAATCCTCCAGATCTAGCATAGATACCTAGCAAATAGTAGACCCTGTAAAATTCTGTATTATTGAATTAATTTTTAATTTTATTCAGATTACTAGTTAAAAATTTTTAAAAATTGGTGATTCTTTTGATGTCGGAAAAAGTTTTAGGAGAAAAGAGAATTTCAATTACTTTTTTAAAAATGTTTATTTAAAAATTTTTGAATTTCAATTACTTTCAAACAAAATAAATTCAGTAATGTGCAAAATAGGAGATTATCTTGTGTTTTTAATAGGAGACTAACAATATTTAATAGCCTTTAGGAAAAGATCATACTTGGAATAATACGAAATACAATAATTGTTCAAACCCATTTTCTTTTGCTGCTAGATAAAATAGACATCTGCTTTGCTCCTGTATCATTGACTGACTGTTTTCGTTCAATTTACAAGATTGACTGATTGTCTATCTTAGATCTTTCTCTTCTGTAAACCCATAGTCAACCCTTTTTTTCTATTAACTAGTAAGGTCTGGCTCATAATACTTGTTCAAAGAACGTTTAGTCTCTTTATTGTTCAAACAAAACTTAATGACGTAGCCAAAATAAATTTAGACATATTGCTGTGAAGTATTTCTCCAGATCACCTCAGTAAGGTATATGCCAGGAAATAATTCTAGAAGAAGAGTTACTTTGGTAGGCAGAAAGAATAATGGCCTCTTAAAAAAATGCTCATGCCCTTAACCTGTGAATAAATTATGTTACATGGCAAAAGGGACTTTGCGGAAGTAATTAAGATACAGATTTTAAGAAAAGGAAATTATCCTGGATGGTTCAGGTGGGTCCAATCTAATCACATGTTCCCCTAAAAGTGGAGAACTTTCTCAGGTTGGAAGCAGTAGAGATTTGGCAGAAGAAAAGTCGGAGAGATTCATGGGTGCTGGAGTGACAGGAAAAAGTGGGGACAATTTAACAAGGAATACAGATGGCCTTAAGGAGCTAAGAGATGTTCTTGGCTGGCAGCCAACGAGGAAATGGGGACCTCAGCCCTATAGCTGCAAGGAACTGAATTATGCCAAAAGCTAAATTACCTT